GTCAATCTGCTCTGCATTCAGCTTCTCGATGCTCTGCAGGACAGCAGGTTGCAGAAAGTCAGCATTTAGCAAGACTCAACATAATAAGGCTGTCAGCTTATTAAGGCAATAATCCCTGCTTGCTAACAACAGAAACACTTTCCTATATGGCTCTGTCTGCTAAGGGAGCAAAACCACAAATTACAGCTTGAAGCTGCCCAAGTATTTGGAGTGCTTGGAACCACTCTGCTGAAATCCCACCGCTGATGAGCACCATTGGCACACACCTGATTCCAACTCCACACAATTATTTCATCCACCTCAAAGTTCACCTGCAGGTGACAGGTGAAGGCAAAAGAAAGGGGCTTTATGAAACCACTCACGAACATAAGATAAGGCATTAGTAAGCTGGCATGTGGATGACACTTCAGACAGTATTAATACTTCTTTATCACATTAAAAGTAACTGGCATTGTTTTTGGGATACTTTTATGCTCCACTTTGAAGATACCTTGGCCAAGACCTTGCCTCAGAATGAAACAGGCAATCTACCCAAGAGAAAAGCACTTCTCATATTCCCTACAGGGTCCACAATCTAATCAGAAAACACTTACCTCTCATTTAGAAGAAATAATTTTAATACCAGCCTAGTGTATCCTGATCTTGCTATATCACCACCTATCTCAGCTGGTACAGGCACATTTTAAGCATCTACAAATCCACTCTGTGCCTCAAACAAGAAAAAGTCACAAGCAGAGCCAAACACTGGCCACTCACAGATCAGCAAACTGAAGGTTAGTGCCATCTAAGTATGATAAACATCAAGGAAACCTTCACAAACCTTTAACAGGTTTCACATGCACAGTAGTATTGCACATTTAAGTATTTCAAACTCTGTGGTTGAACGTAACATCCTTAAAATGAAACCATAAAGACATGTAACTTGGTTAATTCACATCCATCACTCACATCCAAAACATTGAAAAAAAAATCTGATTGGTAAGGCATCAGAGTAAATATGCCAGTTAAAAACTGCAGCAGAAAGAGACACACACAACATGAAATGGTTTGCAGAAAAATAAAAACCCAGAGCACCAGGCAAGTAGACTAGGACAAGAAAAACATCAGCACAGTACACAAATACTCAAAGAAAGGTGGCAAGGTGGAGCAAAGAACACAAAACCCCCTTTCAATTAAACAATTAATAAACCAGGGAGTTAGCACACAAAGAGTGCAGTAACAAGAGGATTTAGGTCTTGAAACTTCCATGACATTTAAGAGAGATGAGATTAAACCAAAATCGGCCCAACCCAAACAAGACTTCATCCTAGGCACATTCACCTGAAGTGAAAGGCACAATTAGCATCAGTTCTGTGCACCTCAAACCGTGGTCTGCATGTTTCCCTACAGCCCTGCCTACCAATACAAGTTTCCTCAAACACACGCAATCCCGTGATGACAAAAACAGGCCAGAAGATGCTTGGAAACTACACAGTTCAAATAATGCTCCCACCAGGTTGCACATGACAAACTTCAGCTCTCCCCTCTGCTCCAAGACCAAACAAGAGCAGGTAACAACCGGTGTCATCCTATCCCAGGGAGAGCCTGCCACATCCCAACAGGCAGCTGGATACACAAATAACAGCATAGACTGGCAGAGCAGAGAAAAATGACGAAGTGCATTATAAAGCCCCTCAAAAAAATAAAGAAAAGAAAAAACAACGCAAATTATGGTTAGCTGTTTTTGCTTTAGCTTTGATTCTCCTATGTTCGCTGAAGTTAGGATCGAATCCTGAAAAACTCATCTTAACGACACCAGTTTACCCTCCACACGGACAGACTCACGTCTCACGCCGACACAAACACTATACACCGGTATTTCCATACAAGACGGCGACGGGAGCAGGGACCGGGACTAAGGCTTTGACATTTGGGCTGGAGCCGAGCTAGTAAGCTCCCCACACTCCTGCAGCCGCCGGCTCGCTCTGGAAGAGACCCGACCCCCAAGTTCCGCCCGTGACACAGCCACCCGAAGCCGGTACCCAGCAGCAGCGGCCAGAGCCGGCCGCGGGGGCGGCTCCACGGCCGCCGGAAGCCGGGACGGGGCCGGTCCC